CAATTAGCAGAAGGACCAACTTGTATATCCTTTCAGAGATTATTCCAAAAGTTGTTCGCTTCATTATTTTTAGGCAAGCCTGTGTAAACTGATTTTTCCCACCCACATCGCTAAGAGGCTCAGATGAATATGATGTTTAATTAAATGAAAAAAAAAATCTCAACGTGCTTTGCAGGATGTGAATTGATTAGACAAATGCTACTGTGAGTGCCGTCGGCTACAATTAGGCTCAGAATCTGGCTGTCGATAAATTTATCTTTGTCTTGCTGTGTCTGTGTGCTTTCAAAGTTGAGTGTTCTTTTTATATATTATAAGGAGGAATGCTTGGCCAAATATTTAGAACAGGAGTACAGCTGGTCAGGCAATTACTTCTGAAACAGCTTCAGAATATCCAAAAAGGTAAAATCAACAGTGATTTTATATTGTTTTCATGGAAAGACCACTTTTTTGTGTATGCACTGTTTGTCCAATCCAAGGAAAGGCATGTGGCTTTGTCCAGAGTCTCCCCCAGGCCATATCAGACTTGAAAAACATCCTCAAATAATACTTTCTCTTTCTTTCTAGGGGTTTCTATGAGTTCATCTTCCCTGAACTAAAATGGAAAGTGCCTATTGTTGGATCCTACAATAGGATCAAAGCACATTCTCCTTTATGATTTAAATGACTCTAACAGAGGAGTCTTTCTAGATTATTCTCTGTGTTCTTGGATCAAAGGTGATTATCTTTGCTAGCTCTAATTTCTGGTGAAGCATTAGTCACTGCTCGGCAGGACCTCAGCACCTTCCGTGTTTAAAGTGCTCAACAATTATCGATTATCTAATCTTCCACCAGCCCTGTGGGGTAGGTCTGCCCTGTCCTTTCTTCCTACAAACTCAGAGGTCAGGCGCTCTGTCCGAAGACCTGGATATTCCGTCTACTCTTGGGTTTGCTTGCTGCAGATCAGAGAACCCAGATGCCTCACCTGGCAGCTTAAGAGATAGTGGAGGAAAACAAATCAAAATAGAAGGTAACCGTTCAGTGACAAGCGAGTAAATATTTAAAGTTCTTATTTTGCTATAGACCTGGCTCAGAGTTTTTATCCGGAAATCACAGCTCATTTTGTAAAATTACAGTAATTTGAAAGACAATTAAAAAATTAAACAGGGTTCCTGGTGGAAAGGTCAATTCGAGGAAGAGGCGACTTACTTCCTCTTTAATAATTGAGCTGACTGCAAATGGGGCTGGTTTGCTGGGGGGCACCTCGAGCCTTTTTATGAGGCCTTTCTGATTGCCTGCTTTGATGAAGAAGTCCTTTCAAGAACACAGGAAGTGTGGCAGGCAGTCAGCAGTCACCAGTGGTGTGAGTTAATTCTTTGTTACAAGATCAGCCCTATCGCCTTATTCGACACAATGTAGATCCTGCTGGACGCAGACTTCACAAGGCCAGTGTGTGCTAGAGGTCAGCTTGCTGGACTTGCAAGGTCACCGGCTCCTTCCCATTGATGCATTCATTATCTTGCACCAATAAAACTAGGGATGCCATTCCTTGGTCCCCTTTCTCCCCCTCCCCTTTTTTCTTTCAGCCTGACCCTTTGGCAGAGAGAGCTTCTGTGGAGCCTCAGGAGTTTGGAAGAGCAGGACTCACTTCCTTGGCTGCACAACCTTCTGCTTATCCCTACTGTTAGGGAGAAGACAGGCATGATGAGCAGTGTTAGGAGAAGGGGCCGTGAGACCTTGCTCCTTCTATTCCCGCCAGTGCAGGGATCTGTCCGGGAATTGTGAAAATGGTGTCTGGCCCCAGCTTTCAATGTAAAGCCTCAATTAAAAGAAAATAATGAAATGCATTAACTGACATAGCTCTGATGGCAGTCACAGGGCCTTGAGGCAGCTGTGAGGAAACCTGGGCTGTCTCCTGAGGGTCAGAATGCCCCTGTGGCTAACTGGGAAGACAGGTTGCTTCCCTCATATCAGAAGCTGAGGAACTCATTCCCACGTGTGAGCTGAGAAAGGATTTGTGTCTTCAAGCCATGTCATCTTTATCATAGCCTCATCTGCACTGTAGCTCGGCTACCTCTTGTAGCAGCTCTTCTTAGAGCATCATGGAAAGAAATGCAAGAAAGGGAGAGCTGGCCCACCACATTCTCCATTTTCAGAGACTGAAAGGAATCACCTTGCTCCATGTATAGACCAGCACCTCATGAAACGTGTAACCCCACAAGGCGGAAGCCATTGGGCCGTGGCCTGTTTAGGACAGACCACGCCCGTCTCTCTTCGGAATGCTTTGCTTTGCTAAATAAACTGCGTGAGCTTCTGTGTCACTCAACTGAATCCTTTCCTTCAAGAAGACCAGAACTGAGAGAACCCCAGAACACTGAAGACTCGGTCCAGTTTTACACACAGAAATTTGGCCAACACGAAGGTAGAAAAACATTTGTTCTGGCCTGACTTGTCATTTGCTAAATCATCCCTGCTACTACTGTCATTTAAAATGTAAGTATTTCCTGTGGAAGAAATAAATGAGAAAGGAGGAATATGTTTCTGAAGTTTCTAGCTTGTCTCTAAATGGTGGGCCTGAGTGCTAACAGAATATTGAAAGATTAAGAGCTCTTACGACCTCTAGGCCTGGAGTGGATAAGAGAAGCAAGCATGGTTGGGAGCTTCCAGTGGGTGGCAGAGTGTAGCATGGTCTCCAGAGACCTTCCACAGTGACCACTCTAGAGGTGTGTGGGCTCATGAGAGCCAGGGAACCTCCCACTGTTCTTCCATGGAGTACCTGGGCTGGCCCTGGCAACTACCTTCTACCCACTGGTTCAGGGCTGGAATCCCCTTCTGTGTCTTTGCCTGGCCCAGCAAGGGGTCTCCTCCAAGCCCAGAGGTTTCCTGTTTCTTTTTATCCCCTAAGTAAGACCTGAAGTCTCAGGATCACTAAGAGAAAAGATTTGCGTGTGTGTGTGTGTGTGTGTGTGTGTGTGTGTGTGTGTGTCCTAAGGCTTACCACCCAGCCCATGAGTAATTCTGTTATGCCTACTCCATTACAGTTCACATGGCTTGGGGCAGGCGAAGGCATTTTCAAACCTTAGAACCTGCCTTAACTTGGAGGTATCTGCTTGTCTGTGCATCCGTTCAGGTGAACTTGTTCTTCTTTGGGAAGAAGGAGAGGATAAGGAATAATGGGTGTTTCTATTCAGCATCTAAGATGAGGTCTTAGAACTTGGTTCCCGTTATTGTGATGGCATAGAAACTTGGAGTGATAATTTAATATAGATATTAATTGGTTACTTATTTGCTATAGTTTCAACTTTGTCACTTGAAAAAGATGTCAAAAATTTTTAATATTTTATTGATTCTTTGTGAGTTTCACATCATGCACCTCAGCCCTACTCATCTCCCATACCCCTCATATCTGACCTTTCACCCTTGTGATGTTCTCCCCAAAAATAAAACACACACACACACACACACACACCACCACCACCACCACCACCACCACCACCACCAACAACAACAACAACAACCAAAACCAAAGCACAGAGAACATTCATCATGGAAGCTGTAGTGTGTCACAGTGTGTCCCACAGTATATCCCTCTGTACACACATCTTCACTGCAAATGTTCACTGCAATCAGTCATTGGTGTGCTTCGAGATCTCTGGCTTCTCTGACACCATCAATATTGAATCCTCCTCACCAGAACTCCTCCTGGTTAGCCTGTTGTGGCTCAGTATCACGGTGATCCTGTATGTCTGGAACAGAAGGACTGGCCCTTTCAAGAGTCCCAACCATTTACTGATGATATAAATTTTGGGGTGGGCTAATTCAGGGCCCTGGATCTGGGCCTGTGTGGTAGCTGAACTGGTCGGACCACTCTCTCTCTCATTTATTTGAACCACCAGGGAGAAATCTTGTGACTCCAATATGAGTTCTCCTGCTGCAGGAGGTGAGGGTGAGGGGAGGGAGGGTGTCATTCTCGAACCTACACCTCACAAAGCAGGACCAAGGCCGGCCCTACCGTGGTGCCCGGTTGAGGTGCCTGTTCTCCCAGCTGCAGCTGGCAAGAGGCAGGGCCAGCTGACCCACTCTCGACTACCACAGACGGTGAGGAGCGAGGGAGACAAGGCACCACCTCTGCACCCACGCCACCTCACAGCAGATGAGTGGTGGAGCTAACTCTCCATACTCTCGCCCTTGGGAGGGCTGGCTCACCTGGACCACCCTGCACCCTGGCACCAGTCAGCTCTGCTGCTTTCCCGATTGCTGGAGGTGGTGAGGGACAGGGGCCATCACCTCTATGCCCATGCCACCCCACAGCAGAGGAGTGGTAAGGACAGCTCTCCTACACTCGCGCCCTCAGGGCTAGCTTGCCCACACCTCGCTGCTAGGACCAGCTCACTGTGCTGCCTGGGAGAGTGCTGCCAGCAGTGAGAGGTGGGGCCGGCAGTGAGAGGTGGGGCCAGCAGTGAGAGGTGGGGCCAGCAGTGAGAGGTGGGGCCAGCTCTCCAGAGTGCCACACCCAGGGAGGGGCGGGGCCAGTTATTCACAGTCCCTCGACATCCAAGTGGTCCCTCCAGGCTGCCCCCACCGGGAACATTCCCATGTTCTCCAGTGGTAATGTGAGCCACTGGGGACAGCTACACCGACCCTTCCTCTGGGTAGCTATTAACTCAGACATGGCCTCAGTGACAGCTCTGGCTAGGACCTCACCATGGCCCCAGGAGGCGGGGCTGGCCACTCAGAACAGGTCACTGGCCTCCACCTTGGAGTCTCCAGTTCAGTCTCTCTTCCTGCTGAGCAAGCTGCTCCATTTTGCTTTCTCTCCATCTGACCACCACATCCTCATTGTGGTGGCTCCTGCTGCAGGCTGGCCATGCTCCCGGTGGGCCTCCTGCGTGGTGTGGTAGCAAGCAGGTGTCTGTGGCCCGCCTGTGCCAGGCTCTGGAGGGCAGTGTGTGGGTGCATGGTGGTGTGAGGTACCTGTCTGTCTTCCTCCTCCTGTCCTGGGCTGCCTGGACTTGATTTGACTTTTATGAGTCCTAGGCATGAAACAGCTTTGGCCACCAAGCCAAGCGTCAAGGATGAACAAACAGCTGACGTGTGCTCTGCCCCTGACTGATGGGAGAACAACACCACCACCAACGTGTCTCTCTACCCATTGCTCCGGCGAGGGGCTGAGCTGGGGGGAGGATGGCAAATATTTTTATAACAACAGTAGCAAAATGTATTAATTAATGAAAATAATTAGGGGAAGAGAATGTCAGGGTGACAAGTTGGGGAGAGAAGGGATATCCACAGGTTTCATCCTCTGCTGGGAAAGGTAGGAGGGGCATGAGGATTAATTGCAAAAACATGTATCATGCATTTCCTTAATAAGCAAGCCACAGAAATTCCAAAAAGTTGCAGTGGGAGCCCCTCCTCCCAGATAACATTTTGAGTGTCTGCTTGATATAAAAACCAACAATAAATCATGTGCTATCGTAAAACAGTTAAAAAATATCTTAAAATATGAGCTGAAACAATAGTTTGTCATTCTTACCTGCGTGCTGACAGACTGACACTATAATTGTAATACAATGTGGAAAGAGCAGTGTTTGATCCTCTGAAAACTGGGGCTTTATGAGAGAGTGGCTCAGGTCCCTGTAAGTCCACTGTATGCACAGCATCAGAGTCCACAGCTGTGGTAAATGAGGTTCAGAAGCAAACACTCCGTATGCATAAAGAAATCACTTCTAAAGGGGAGAAACACAGACACACATCACTTTTCCAGCCATGGTTCTGAAACTTACAAAACTACTTTGTGAAGCTGGACTATTGACCTTCCACGTCAGTTTTATGGGTTCCACAAGAGGAGGACGGGCCTTGAGGCTGCATACAGCTTCGGAGGCTGCTTCTTCTGGAGGACTGGAGAGGACTCCCAGTGTCTATTAATCCTGAGAGTCACCAAAAAACCAACTCCACCATTTTGGGGCAAGTTTAAAGCAAGCCTTATTAAATATTTAATACTGACCAAGGGATGGACTTTGTCAGGACTGTTCTCTGGAGTTTCCCAGCTTACCATGGCCCCAGCCACATGGTGCAGGGGCTTAAAAGGGCACATCTATAGGCCACCGAACCTTTCCATGAGATGTTGTTATTTTCCAAGAACTACAATTCCCAGCATTCCAGGAAGTTACCTGGTTCTTGGACAGATGGGGCTTACAGGATAATTTTGGGCATTATCTGACCTCCTAAGTCATTCTCTGAATTACCTCAATTTTTTTTTTCACTGAACCTGGAACTCTCTGCTTCTGTCCCTCAGTGCCTGCTCACACCTGTGCTGTGTGGCGGGCATGTGCAGCCACCCCAGGCTTGTACATGGAAGCTGAGGCACTTACCTGAGGGCCTCATGTTTGCACAGTAAGCAGTCTTACTCACCTAACCCTGCTTCTAATTTTTAAACTATGCAGCTATGTCTATAATGCTACTTTTTAGGGCAGAAACCACTTTTTGATATAATTTTAAACCACAAATTTCTTTTAGAGGAAACACAGCCATCTGTACTTTTAAATAAGCAGTGCTTTCTCTTTGTAAATAAAACTGTATCAGGCAGCGTGGGCTTGCTGAAGATGACAGAAGTCCTTAATGGCAGCCTAAGTCGAAGGGATGAAGGTACTGGGCAAGCCCTATCAGAACACAGCCTCCCTGCCCTGTGATCCATGCTTACCATTACTGTATTTCCTTTTGAGTTGACATCTTACGTTCCTAAACGACTGCTGTCCTTCTGTTCCTCCTCTCCAAACTCATGTGGGCATCGTGAACAGACAGGGAGTTGGTGTCTTCCCTCTTGGTCACCTGGCAGGTGTTATGGAAATTGATCTTCCCCAATTGATTGGCTGAGTTCAGCACAGAAGGAGGAAAAGAGCTCATGACCCCTTCCTGTTTGCACGAGGCAGATGGCAAGTGTTAAAGGTCCTGCTCTGTGTGTTCCCTTCTCAGAGTTTCAAGGTCACTAGACACAGCAGTCTGCAGTGTGCCCAGGACTGCTGTGAGCCACATGAGGTTCAGGACCAACTCATGAAAGAAAAGGAGCCATGACATGCAGTGAGGACTGAAAGGCTCCTGGATAATCTGGTCTTTCGACACACACACTGCTCTCTGAGGACTTAATACTTGGCCCTGAGAGGAGACATCCCCATTTGACCAGCACCACCTCCAACCAAAGCTAGGCAATCTCACAGAACACAACAAAAGTTCAGAATGTTGTTCATTGGCCCAGAGTGGCTTCATAGCTGAAGACTATACAACCTTTCTCCCCCAAGCAGGTGACACAGGCCTGTAATCCCAGAACTCACCAGCCTGATCTACAAAGCAAGTCCAAGACAACCAAGGCTACACAGAGAAGCCCTGTCTGAAAAAACCAAAAACAACCACCACCACCAAAAAACCAAAAAACAACAGAAAACAAAACAAAAAACTCTTCCCCCAGCACACAATCTTCTTATCTGTTACCTTGTTCATCTTATCATCAACTTGACTAGATTCAGTCACCTCGAAAACACACCTTTAGTGTCTGTGAGAGCATTTCATGTTTAGCTGATGAGGGAAGGGGCTCAGGATGCAGTTAACACAGGCAACACTGTGCCCACAGACGTGGGTCTTGTACCAAATAGAAAGGGAAAGGGGAAAGCCTTCTGACCCCCTCCCCCTGAAGAGGCCAGTGGCCCCTCTGCTCCCATGCAGTCCATACCATCATGAGCTTTACCCTCAGCCTGGGAGCCAAACCCAGCCTTCCTTCAGTTGCTGCTTCTCAGGTGTTTTAGGTACAGAGATGAGAAAAGCAGTCACTATACTTTGCTAATAGTGTTGCCTGAATTCCCCCAAATTACAAAGTCTCTCTCTGAATCAAGTCTCCCTGCAAACAAACAACAAAAAACAAGCAAAAACTTTTAGAGTTCCCTAGAAAACAAGTCTAGTAGTATGTAAACTAACTCTGTCATCCGTGTCTGTAATATTTAGATGCATCAAACAGGAACCTGCATGAAGGAAGTGTAGCTTAGTCCTCTGACTATAGGTCCCGCTGCAGTGAGAGCAAAGCATTTCTGCCCAACTTTCTTGAAGTTATTTCAATGTTAGCAGGCTTGGGCTCCTACTGAAACACGTAGGAACAGAGATATTATATGGGGTGTGAAGAGGTACGTGAAGAGGTCTCAGGCCACTTTCTCATCCTCTAGGACTTGCATTCTGCCTTTCTGGGGAGCAGAAAGGGGGAAAGGTGACTTGACTTCTGTTTCCCAAAGGTAAAAGCCAGTGTGCTTGCTTCTTCTTTCAGGCCCTGAGGATATTGTATTTCTTCTCCATGTGAGTATTCTGGACAGTCTTTAAAAAAAAAATCATTAAACCTAACACAACTTAAATCTCAGAAAAGATGTCAATGTGTTTCAGTGCCTGGACACACAATGAATCTCCATCTATCTCCGGTAATATAAACACACCTGTGGGATGCTTTCCACTGAATACATGAAAGGAAAACTCGTAATAAATCTCAGACTGATCGCCTTATCATGACTGACAGAGCCGCTGCAGGCTCCTTCTTTATGAGTATAATTTGGGAGTGTATAAAAGCGGGAGATTGATTTCTGCAGAGTCCTTCCTTTCCATCAGTATTTATTCCGAGCTGGGCAACTCCCTCTTTTTTTAATAAAAAAGTACTCACAAAATATGGTTCCTATATTTAATTTTTATAACCACATGTACATACACACACACCACACACTCACACACACACAGTTACTACTTAATGCCTGAAAGACCCACCAGGCTAAATGGGAGCTGAATAAGTTTCCCTCTGTGCCTCCCAGGCAGAAATGTCCTTGTTAAATGTTGCTTTTCAAACTAGGGATCAGAGAGGACACTTTGGTCCTTGCCTAGAAGTGTGCGCTTCTAAGAACTCCTTAATGAAGCCCTTAGGATTCAAATGCATTCATCATTCGTGGGATGCTGTTACGGTTCCAGTGCGACTTGTGTGTCCAGCTAGCTGCAGCTGACTAAGAAGTTCTGGAAGTTTTAGATGAAATTTCTTTAGAGGGCCACTGGGGATGTGACAGCAACACCTGTTTCCTGGTTTTGTCTAACAGGAGGCTAGCAGTCACACACACATACATACACACACACACACACACACACACACACACACACACACACACACACACACTACCAAGATGGCCTGCCCCAGCACACAACCATGGTTTTAGGTTATATCCATGAATGGTCCTTGGTTGGAGTATGAGTCTCAGAAAAGACCCCTGTGCCCAGAGTTTTTGGTTCTGTTGTTCTCCTTGTGGAGCTCCTGTCATCTTCGGATCTTACTATCTCCCCCTTCTTTCCTAAGATTCCCTGCACTCTGCCCAAAGTTTGGTTATGAGTATCAGCATCTGCTTTGATACCCTGCTGTGTAGAGTCTTTCAGAGGCCCTCTGTGATAGGCTCCTGTCCTGTTTCCTGTTTTCTCCTTCTTCCAGTGTCCATCTTGTTTGTCTTTCTGAGTGAAGATTTATCTTTTTACCCAGGGTCCTCCTACTTGCTTAGCTTCTTGAGGTGTATAGATTTTAGTATGTTTATCCAATATTATATGGGTAATATCCACTTATAAGTGAATATATACCCTATGTGTCTTTCTGCTTCTGGATACTTCACTCAGGGTGATCTTTTCTAGTTCCCACCATTTGCCTGCAAATTTCATGATTTCCTCATTTTTAATTGCTGAGTAGAATTCCATTGTGTAAAAGTACCACAATTTTTGTATCCATTTCTCCATTGATGGACATCTGAATTTTTTTTCCAGGTTCTGGCTATTATGAATAAACCTTCTAAGAACATGGTTGAGCAAATGTCCTTATTGTGTACTTGAGCATATTTTGGATATATGCCTAGCAGTGGTATAGCTGGATCTTGAGGAAACACTATTCCTAATTGTCTGAGAAAGCACCAGATTGATTTCCAAAGTGGTTGTACAAGTTTGCATTCGCAGGGGATTTTCTTAACTGGATTATTTTAAGAAGAGAGACCCACCTTAAATCAGGGGCCCACCTTCTAGTGGCAGTCCACGCAGAACACGGAGAAGGAACTTTTCTTTTTGCTTGCTTGCCTCCACTCTCCCTGCCAAGTTTGTCTACCTATGGCTGAGGTGTT